ATGCCAAATGCAGCTAACCTATAAGGTTCCATTTTTAAGTAAACCATTTCTCCCTCTTGAAATTGTCTGTCTGTCCTTTTGTTGTCTGCATATTTCTTCATTCTTTCTTGTGCTACTAGTAAATTATGCTTGAGCTGTTGCTGTACATGCTCCTTTTGTTCCAAGAAGTACTTTGCTTCGGCATCAGGAGGTCCTGGAATGGAAACTTCTCCAATTTGAGGTGGAGCAAAACCATACAAGCATTGGAATGGAGTAAATTTTGTAGCAGTGTGATATGATGTATTGAACCACCACTCTGCCATGGAAAGCCAAGAACACCATTTCTTTGGTTCATTGAAAGCCATACATCTGAGATAAGCTTCCAGACACTGGTTCACTCTTTCAGTTTGGCCATCAGACTGGGGGTGGTGAGCTGTACTCATGTTGAGTTTAACTCCCAAGGATTTAAACAAAGCTTGCCAAAAGTTACTAGTAAAAATTCTGTCTCGATCAGTAACTATGGATACTGGCATGCCATGTAACTTGAAGACATTGTCAATGAATGCTTGCAACACATGAGTGACAGTGAATGCATGTGAGAGGGCAATAAAATGGGAGTATTTGGTGAATCTATCCACTACCACCAGAATAACATCTTTACCCTGGGATTTGGGTAGTCCTTCCACAAAATCCATGGATATGTGTCTCCAAGCCATATCGGGAATGGGCAGGGGGTCCAATAATCCTGGATAGTGACAGTGTTCTCCCTTTGCTCACTGGCAGACAGGGCATTGTTGGACAAATTGTTCCACGTTATTCTTCATATTTGGCCAATAAAAAATTCTCTTGATTCTCTGATAAGTGGCCCTGATTCCTGAATGGCCCCCAAGAGGAGAAGCATGAAATGTATGTAGTAGTTGTTGTTGGAAAGTTGTGTTTGTGCCAATATATATCCTGTTTTTATATCTCAGTATTCCAGCAGTGTAACTATACAAAGGAAGTGTTGAAGTTCCAGCAGTGAGTTGAGCTATCAAGTTTTTGCATTTTTCATCAGCCTTGTAAGAGGTTTCTATTTGATCAGTCCAGCTTGGTATTGCTGTGGAGATGGACATTAGTTGGGGTTTCCTGGAGAGTGCATCAGCAGCTTTATTCTCCTTGCCCTTCTTATACTCAATAGTATAAGTAAACTCCAAGAGTTTTAACATCAGCTTGTGTTGTATTCCTTCAGATATCCTCTGTTCAGTAATAAATTTGAGACTCTGATGGTCTGTCTTGATGATGAGAGAAGATCCCAAGAAATAATGTCGCCATTTCCTGAGGGATTCCAAGATTGCAATTGCTTCTTTTTCATAAGTTGAGAGAGCAGCAGCTTTTGGACCCAATGACTTGCTGTAGTAAGCAATAGGCTTGTGCTGTTGCATTAGGACAGCTCCTACTCCAGCTCCTGAAGCATCACATTCTAACTCAAAAGGAAGTGAGAAATTAGGGAGTGCTAGGACTGGTGCATTAGTTAAGCTGTATTTCAGTTGCTCAAAGGCTGCTGTTTGTGTTGGAGTCCATAGAAAGGAGTCCTTCTTGAGAAGATCATGAAGTGGTCTGCAAATTAAGCCATAGTCTCTGATGAATCTCCTGTAGTAACCAGCTAGGCCCAGGAAGCTTCTTAACTCAGTGGTGTTAGACGGAATGGGCCAATTCTTCATAGCTGTTATTTTTTCAGGATCTGTGGCTACTCCTTGTGCAGATAAAATATGTCCCAAATATTCCACTGTAGGAGTACCAAAAGTGCACTTAGATTGATTCAACAACAAGTTATGTTTCTTGAGTAACTCCATTACTATAGCTAGGTGTTCCTTGTGTTCCTCCACTGTCTTACTGAAAATGAGGATATCGTCAAAAAACACCAAGACAAACTTCCTCAAGTAGGGTGCAAATATTTTGTTCATGAGAGCTTGGAAGGTAGCTGGAGCATTTGTGAGGCCAAATGGCATGACCAAGAACTCAAAATGTCCAGAATAGGTTCTGAAAGCAGTCTTGTGGATGTCTTCAGGTTTCATTCTAATTTGATGATAACCAGATTTCAGATCCAATTTACTGAAAATGGATGCTCCATGTAGTTCATCCAGCAAATCTTCAATTACAGGTATGGGAAACTTGTTCTTTATAGTTTGGGCATTCAATTTCCTGTAATCAATGCATAATCTCCAGGTGCCTCCTTTCTTTCTGACCAATATAGCTAGGGATGCATATGGGCTCACACTGTGTTGTATAATATGTCTTGAGAGCAAGAGTTTTATTTGCTGTTCCATTTCATTCTTCTGCAAATGAGGTACTCTGTATGGTCTGACATTGGGGGGTGTGGAATTGTCTTTGAGTGGTATAGTATGGTCACATTCTCTAGCAGGAGGTAGCTCAGTTGGTTCTCTGAAGAGTTCCTTGTGCTGCTCCAAGACTGGTAAGAATTCTTCTGTGATCTTCTGTTCAGGTTGTATGGCAGGACAACTGTAGTTGCTAGGAATAGTCATGAAGTGTAAGCTCATGGCAAAACCAACTGCTCCCTGGGAGCACAATTTATCCATTTTTCAGCAGATATTAATTTAGGTGGCTCTGTAGCTGTATAATCTGTGAATGTCACAAGGTGGCTCTTGTCCTTATTGAGAGTGACAGTTCTAGCATCAAAATCCATGGAAATGGGGCTATGTTTCTTGAGGAAATCACACCCAAGAACCACATCGTAACCCTGTAATTCCAGCACTGTGAGATCATTGGAGAATGTTTCCTGATTGATATGGAAGTTCGCCTTAGGGGCAAAAGCTCCAGAGGTAAGTGAGCCTCCTCCAGCGACTGTAACTCTTTGTGTAGGGGTATTGACCAAGTCACAATTACTTTTGAGTGCGAATTTGAGGTCAATAAATGTGTTTGTACTACCAGTATCTACCAGAGCTATGCCACTTCTACCTCCAAGTAATAACTTGATTGCTATTGTTGACTCAGAAGTATTACCTGAAACTGCTTGTGCAGAGATGTGCATGCACTTGTCAGAAGCATCTAAGAACTCTCCTTCTGCAGTTAAAACTGCCAATTGAGCTTCCTCCTCAGGAGAGATATCTTCAGTGTCATTGTCACTAGCAATAGCATGAAGAGCAGGTGCTTGTTTACATTTGTGTCCAGGAACCCAAGGGCCATTGCATCTCCAGCAAACCCCTGGTTTCTTAACTGCTGGAGCTGCTGGAGGAACCAACACTGGTTGTGTCGTAGAAGTGGCAGGTTTATGTAGATTATGTGTTTGCAATTGTCTGTCTTGTTGTGCCACATAAGCTTGGTATTTGGCTTGAAGTCCGCTTTCATAATCCTTGGCCATCCAATAAGCCTGAGTGAGTGTTTTGGTGAGTGTTTTGGGTCTTTGTGGCCTGAGATTACATCTGATGTTAGGCTTCAGTCCATTGACAAAGCTAACAACATAGTAGTGTTCCTGTAAATATGGGTGTTCATCTTAACCACAGCCATAATCTCTTCAAATTTGTCAATGTACGCTGCAACAGACAGTGTGTTCTACTTGACACTATGGAATTTTTCCAAAATCTCATAGATACTAGAGTCTGTGAATCTGTCACAGAGTAGTCTACAGAATTCCTTCCAGGGAATGGCACAATTTTCCAGTTGAGCGCTGCGGATCCAATTATCAGCCCTTCCAATGAAATAAGTTAAGGCCAAGTCAATCTTACATTCTTCAGGTACTTGAGCCAGCTGAAAGTATTTAGTGACTTGCCGAATCCAACCCAAGGGATTATCCCCATTGAAATAAGGGAAATCGATTTTTGGACCCTTAGAAATATTTTTCATAAACTATGATGCACGGTCAGACTTGTACTGCTCAGAAAATTCAGGCGGTTTCTCTGGCTGTTTTGCTTGTGATCCAACTTGCTTAAGATGAAGCTGCACTAGTGATTCAACCTGCTTTTGCAATTCTCGTGCTGTGGTAGTCTGAACCTGAATTATGGGTGGCGATTTTTCTGCAGACCCCATGGAAGAGCTAGGAGATTCAGGGTTGGGCGGGTGGGTGTTTTCACGTTGCATTTGCTTCAACAGAGTGAGGATATCTGTCTGAACTGAAGAATTCTTCTCCACCAGAGCCTCCACCTTATAGATCTGGTTCTCCATAACTTCCACCTTGGACAGGCGAGCGTTAACCTCCGCCATCTGGTCTTGTATCTTGTCTTGTTTGAGTGTCATCGCAGAAACCTCTGCTCGCAGAGCATCGAGCTCATCAGAGATCTCGTCCATGTGCTTGGTTCGCGTCGGCATGGCGAAATCGCGTGCGGCTCCGGAATTTTACCGCGGGAAGAACCCGGAACCCTTGCCGATGATCTTGATTTCGCCCCGCTCTGCGCCTCCCAAAAGTCACCGCCGCCCTGATCGACCGCTAGCAGTGGGATTTTACCAGGGTCCAACCCAACCACTACTGCGTAGATCAATTCCGCCTCTGAGAATCGAGTGGCTACTGATACCAATTGACAGGACTAATTTGGACAGAGAAGAAATCACACTCAAACTAGCCCCGATTTCATATAGCAGCGAAAAAGTTACATATACAAGTTCAAGGATTTACTTCGCGGGAGGCACAGTCGTGCCTCTTTCGGATAGGAAAAAAAAGATCGTCAAAACCTATCAACATAAAATCTAGTTTAAAGATCTCGACGCGAAGAATCCAACAATGAAAACGGTTCGAGATTTATACACACGCGAAGGTGGGAGTGACCTATGCATTTATTTATTTATTTTTAGAAGAGTGCTCCTGGTCACTGCGCCCACCAGCCTGTACAGTGGACACGGCCCAGGCCCACGAACAGTACCGAAGCACACCTCCACCAGCCAGTCGCCTCCGACGCCGGCGCCTTCCCCCCTCTCTCGCGCGCGCCCCTCCCCACGGACTCCGGCAACCGGCGGCCACCCCGCCCACCCGATCCACCAGATCCCTTCTCTCCCCCTCGGCCGATCCACGCGGGCGGCGACCCTCCGTAGCCATGGTGAGTCCATTCCCCTCCCCTTCCTCTCTAGATCCTCCCCTTCCCTGCGCGCCGCCGCCGCCGGATCCTCCCCTTCCCGCGACTCCGTTCAAATGGGTTCTTGTGTCTCCGCAGGCCAACACGCTGCGGCTGTACCTCACCTGCATCCGCAACACTCTGGAGGCGGCCATGTGCCTGCAGGTACGCACCAGCTCCAGGATCGCCATTCCGCTCGGCAATTTCTTGATTTGCTCAAAGAGAAAATTGATGTCGCGCGTGCTTGTTCCTTGTGCCGCTAGAATTTCCCTTGCCAAGAGGTCGAGAGGCACAACAAGCCGGAGGTGGAGCTCAAGTAAGCCAATTCTTTCACCTGGACACCGTCTCTGTATTCAGAGCTTGTGTTGGTTCTTTCTCTAAGTGATTCGGTTCAGACCAGTAGAAGATTCTGCGTATTATAGATCAAAATCGACGCAACCTTTTTCTCCTGCAAAGATAACGGCCTTCCGCTTCTATTTTTCGTATGTGCATTTGTGTGTGAAAACCTAGTAGAAACAAACTGGAGATGTCTCCAGTTTATTCATAGGATGTAAATTTCAAAGACAACAATCTAGATTGCACCGATACGGTTACGCGTACCAGTATGAGCGCGATACAGTTACTTAAATACATCATCTCTGAAAGGGAAAAGCGCCAATACCCGGATACGGTTGACTAAATATGTTATCAATTAAGCATCAAACCATTTAGCATATATTTAGTCAGTGCAGTCCATTATCTTCTACCTTTATCCATGATTCCAACAAAAGCAAGAACCAGCAGCCAAAGGGTAGCCGCAATTTACCAAACATAAAGGTTCAATTAGAGAGAAAGGGAGGAGCAGGAGAAAATCAGCATTCTACAGGATAGTGGGGAAAGGGGAGCAGGAGCACCGGGAAAGGAGCCCCCCACCGGCACTACTAGAGCCTGAGAGGTATCGGGGATGTATGGTGAAAGAATCAGTATCGGAGATGGTATCCGGTACGGATACATTAGTTGCTTGAAGTATCGGTGTTTTCTTGACAACAATAGTGGCACTATCTCTGGCTTCCTTTGATAGTTTATATGCCATTGTATCCCTGCAATCGCATTCACATGTGCCCATGTTCCCTTTTTGTTTACACCTCCCCTCCCTGAAGCTCATGGATGCGAGTAAATCATGTTTTGCTGACATCGTCTTTTTTAATCCCTTTTACAGGACTAGCCCTGAACTTCTGCTGAATCCGGTAAGGGAGATTTCAGATATTGATTCTGTGATGTTGCTAAGAAAATCTTGTGAGAGTAATTCCCTTCTATATATGAATTTGATTTTTATCCATGCGTTCTCCTTTTCTCATACGGATTTTACAGCAATTTTTTTCCCAGCTGCAGAATATTGTGGTGATTAGACGGTAGTGAAAAAATTGTTTGAAATGCCTCTTTGTAATATTTCGTTATGCACCAGTATTGTTCATTCCTCAGAATGGCAACACTTGTTCTCAGTTTGGAGCTAAAATTTCTTTACTGTATTGTGAAGTGAGCAGAATATATATCTGCAGACACCTGCCCAAGAAGTATATGGTAATTGCGTGTCATTTTAAACTTCTAACAGATACACTCTTCATTAGACTATATGCTGGAAATCATGAATACATTGTTCTTAGTACTTTAGTTAACGTTGTTCTTAGGCAAGCAAAATTCAGCCTCACAGGACAGTGGATGTTCTTTCATCTTTCATCCTGTCCTATAGTGAAATTTCCAATGTTCCCTTTATAAGACCTGGTCTTTGGCTAGGCGATGACAAGTAACATAGGCCAGCACTGATGCCAATTAGGTACTTAAATCAAGATATAAACAAGATGCTTATACGATAGTATTAAACTGGAAAAATCACACTTTCTCAATTTTGTACTATTCAAATGGCTGTGAACCCGACATGCTAGAATTTCTGATTTATGTACATGCGTAGCATATTAGAGTATAGGATCGAATATTGTTATTGTGTTCTAGAATACTTGCCTGTAATTATTTATTGCGTTTGAGAACACTTGCCTATAATTAAATAACTCGGCATATCAAAAGTTATTGAATGTATTATTAAAGTTCCCTATGTGAAATTGATATGTGCTACTCCTTCCGTCCCGAATTACTTGTCGCAGAGATGGACGTATCTAGACGCATTTTTAGTTTTAGATACATCCATTTCTGCGACAAGTAATTCGGGACGGAGGGAGTATTTGCAAAACTCTGAAATGGGTGACACAGAGCATATGCGATAAAGCAGAAGTCTAATGAAAACCATATTGTTTAACACTGCTGAAACCTACTGAATCAATTGGTGATATCTTGCATATGTAGTCTGTACCATCTCTTTATGACTATGCTTCTCTGGAGATGAACTTGAAATAAAAAGCAGTTTCTTCAGAATGGTGATTCATAATCAAGGTTTTCCTCTTACAGGTGCTTATATGTCGTAATGAAGCCGAGAAGTGTTTGGTAGAGACTTCAATCAATTCGATCCGTATAAGCTTGAAGGTAGTGAACAATAGCTGGTGGATACTATGATAATTCTTTTCAGAACATTGTAGCTCAATCATTTGTGATCCATTATGCCATCATATACTTGTTTTCTTATTTGGCAGGTTAAGCAGGCAGATGAACTAGAAAATATTCTTGCAAAGAAGTTTCTTAGGTTTTTGTCGATGAGGGCAGAGGCATTCCAAGTGTTGAGGAGAAAACCAGTTCAGGTATTACAATACTGTGTGCATGCATTACTTCTGTACCTCTAGTAATCGACTACTTGTAGTAGTACACAAACTTTATTCAACTGAAGTTGGGCCAGTAGGGCTACTTGATACTAGGGGATTACACATAATTGTCTTTTCTAACTAATTACTCTATCCGCTCTGAAAGTTAAGAGGTCTATACATTTTAGGAATTTAGTTTGATCAGCAGTTAGACTTGGATTAAGTGGTGAAACTGGAAATTTCAAGTGTCAAATTGAAAAACTTGATATCAGCAATACAGTATTCAGGACAACTAAATAGTAGTCTCTATGTTGCCTGGAGTTTTACCAGCTTTCGAGTTTTCCATCTTGATGACCTTCTCACAACGTTTATTAGCCATGTGGATCGAATTTGTTTTGGTACTTGCGGGAATGTTAGTGTACAGCATTTTATCCAAGGACACCATTGGAAAATGACTAACTTGGTTTTCTTTTGTTTCAGGGTTATGATATTAGCTTCCTCATAACAAACTACCACTGTGAGGACATGCACAAGCATAAGCTCATAGATTTCATTGTTCAGTTTATGGAGGTAAGTAAAGGTCTAGTAAATGAACAGCTGACAGCAAGAGTAAGTTTGGACATGTTTGTAGTTTCTGAAATGTTTGTCTTACGTGCCTCTATGTAAAATAAGCACTCAGCAGTTTGTACTAAAATCACAAATGAATCCCTTATACAAATAATTTTAGAGTACATCTATCATGAAACGGCTGTGCGCCCAGCTTGGCGATTGCCCATAAAGTGTTGCCAGTCTTGGATTGCCCATTTTACAAGTGAAGAAGAACGAAATGCAGCTCTGTTTTTAAGGCGTCCCGCCTTGGACGCTTAGGCGACGCTTAGGCGATAAGGCGCCCCGCCAGCGCCTTACAAATATGCCCGCCTTAGGCGCTTAGGCGTCCGCCTTAGGCGCTTAGGCGTCGCCTAGGCGATAAGGCGCCCCCCCAGCGCCTTAGATCGCCTTACCGCCTTAAAAACATAGAAATGCAGAAGACTCACGATCATGTTTTTCTTTCACAGTAGAGCTAAAAAAAATTGCCCATAAAGTGCTGCCAGTCTTGGACATGCTTTGACACACATATGCTTCTTCGTGTTGTAGGACATTGACAAGGAGATCAGCGAGCTCAAGCTGTCGGTGAACACACGTGGCCGGCTGGTGGCAACCGAGTTCCTAAAGCAGTTCATCTGATCTCGCTATCCGACTTCTCATCGCGGAAGGACCAATTCTCCATTGGGAGTTTCTCAACCTCCTCCTTGGAGGTGTTGGCTGCTCTCCTCAGGTTAATGAGCTTCTGGAGTATTGGTGCACCCGGTCGATGACAAATGCAAGGAACAGTGTGTGTCCTGCTAGGAGCGATGAACTGTTAGAATTGTGGTGCCAGGTTTAACTATGAATGTGTATTCTACTCTACTTAATTGTTTGATAGAGGACAATATTAGTGTATTAGACATGGAAAAAAATGGAGTTCTGCATTTATCAGAGTGTAGCCTTAATGCCTGGAAATAAAATCTTTGGAGGTCCTTTTTCGTCATTTTAGTTCTGAATGTTCCTATGTATGAACTGTAATTTGAAGGAATATTTGTGTGCTTGTATGGATACAGTACACTGTATGCTACAGAGTACAGACCAATATACCAAGTCCAAATGGTACACCATGACTTCAGGCTCTCCCGTGAAACATTACTTGACATCGCAATAATTATTTCAACTGCAACGGATTCAGTTGCAAGCAGGGCTTATATACGAACCTAAGTGAATCATGGAAACTAAAATTAGATCATCTTTGATTTTATTAGCTGCAACTGACCTAGTTTGCGCAGGATGATTTCCAAATTGTAAGATCTCCAGTGCAAAGATAGTACACTGGTTACTGGTAATAAAAAAGACCAACAAAAAGGTAAACAGTACTACGATTTAAAAAAGGGAAGTTGTTTTTGGTATAAAAAAATGCAACTCTTCTCAAGATGCAAGCCTTCTTAACAAAAACAAAATGTACTTGTGCATATTATGATTTTCCTTTTCTGGAAGCACGGTGAAACATTATAGAAGACTGTTCAAAAACTAGAACTACTATAGATGCTAACCAAAAATGACCCCCGTGTGTGCAATTTTTCAATGATCGTGTCCAACTGAAAACAACTATGTGTGCAATTGAAACTACTATAGATGCCAACAAAAAATGATCACCGTATGTGTAACTTCCGAATGACCGTATCTAACTGAGAAAAATTATGTGCGCAATATCTAAAAGTACTATAGATGCCAACAAAAAATGATGGCTGTGTGTGCAACTTCCCAATTATCGTATCCAACTGAGAATAAATATGTGCGCAATTAAAACTAGTATAGATACCAACAAAAATGATCACCGTGTATATAATTTTTGAATAATCATGTCCAACTGAAAACAACTATGTGTGCAACTAAAACTACTATAGATGCCAACAAAAAATAATTGCCATGTAAAATGGTGTGACGATCTGAAGGAGCAAACTCAATCTCTCAAGGAGAATGGAATGACAGAAGAATCAGCTATTAATGTGTAAATATTGAGCAGTAGTAGTCCGTTTGTTCAATCAAGAATTAGTAAAACACTACAAGAAAGAAAGGGGCGTCGATTTCCGCATCTCCCATGCCCTTCCTCGCCGCTGATCGATGAGATTTAGGGGAATTCTGTCTTGACAGCGAAGCCCTTCCTCGCCGCTGATCGATGAGATTTGGGGGAATTCTGTCTTGACAGCG